ATATTAAGTGATTCAGCCAAGAAGAATTTAGAGCATGCGTGATAATTCTTCGGTTTTAGCAGACATTCTGTAGGATTACAGAAGGTACCCTAACAGGTCGATCCGGCCTTTTGCAATGAGATGTCTATAGATGGACTTGACCCGCTGAATTCAAATATGCCCTCGGAATTTGCGGAACAATTCCCTAAAGAGAGTTGCGGACCATTCATCCTCTGCTGTGTCGTACAAGTTCGAAACGATACCTGACTGCGATAAGCCGGCGGTGGATTAGTGGATAAATGCGCTGTTCCAGAGTCATGAGGCCACATGTTGGGATCTCTGACTGTTGGAAGGTTTTGTTTTCAAGTAAAACACTTCATATGAGTCTACTTCTGTTTCGCTAATTTACCTAGTTCTTTGATTATTTAACATCAGAAGGAAGCAAATTCGCCATTTCTGCTTCCCTCTGAACAGTTTGTTATGGAGGCATCCGTTTGTTAGAGTGTGCATTAAGAAATGAAGATCCTATGGTTGAAGAGCACATGTGGTATTCTTCCACGGAATGATGGAAAAGGTCTCACACTGACTACAGCGAATAAAGTAATACTCTCCACGCACGGTACAGTTATAGCTCTCCACAGTCCAGAGGGAAAGCAGTACTGAAGAGGTGTTTCGAATGCACCAGGATGTGCTTCGAAGTATCCAGCCGAGTACCAAGAATAGAATAAGAAGTTTTCAAGTCTTGGTGAGATTTGGTGAGCAAAACTGAAAATAGACTAAAGGTAAAATACGGGAAATGGAGTCCCATTGTTAAAAAGTTGTACTATGGGCCAAAGGACGTAGGACCTGGTGGCTGGTAACTCTCAAACCGTAAAATCTTCATTTCTTAATGCAAAGTCTAATAAACAGATATCCTCATAATAAAACTTTGGAAGCAGAAACGGCGAATTTGCTTGCCCTTGATGTCAAATAACCAAAGAAATAGGTAAACCTAGCTAAACAGAAGTGTTTTGGGGACTCATATGAAGTGTTTCACACAAAAGCGAAGTTCCTCAAGAGTCAAGGATCCCAACATGTGACCTCGTGTCTCTGGAGCAATGCACATATCCACTACACCATCGGCCGCTTGCTGAAATCTGTTATGGTTCCGAACTTGTGCGAGCACAGCAGAGGATGAATGGTCCACAACTCCTTTCAGAGAATCGTTCCGTAAGTTCCGACGGCACGTCTCATTACAAATGGACGGATCGACCTGTTGGGGTTCCCTTGTCAGAAAACTGTTCTGAATCAACGCCGAAGGTCCTACTTTGCATCGAGAAGGAAGTGAAGTTGAAAGTTTTCCTCCCAAAGTATCAAACTATACCTGGAAACGGTGTTTTCTCTTCAACGACTTGCACGGAAACTTCGCCTGTCTCGACACCATTGAGGAGATTTTCCGGATTAGCCTAAAGGGAACATTAATCATAGTAGTTGCGCTCAACTGGCCCTCGAACAAGTCACCTCTGCCCAGCGATTCCTCTTCTCCATAGAGTAGTAAACACCGGGAACGAAGGTGTCGGCACACTTGGCAAGCAAACGATCTTTGCGTCTCTAAAAGTTCAACTTTACGAAGGTCAACTTTAGTTACCTACTGTACAGTATCGCGATGGCATCGATGTCAGTATGGCCCCCGCCTCAAAATTTTCTCTTCCAGTGGCTCCCACTACTCGTAATACCTGCCGTATTACTTATTTCTTCGCACTCTCTACCGATTGTTCAACAAGTTTACCAAGATTTTCCCTAAGAAACGCCGCCCATCAGGTAGGGTGGAGGTGCTGCATAGCCTGCCTGGAATCGAACAATTTCCCCTCAGATAATTTGTTTAGAAACACATCCTCCCCCCCCCCCCCCTCCCTCTTAGCAGCCAAGCACGATCCTACTTCAATGAGATTTTGCCGCGATGCTACGATGAGATTTTGCCGACGATGCTACCATAACTCAAATGTCCTAAACACTAAATCTCACGAAGAAAGTATTACCTTGCCAAGAACGTTGTCTGGATCTTCCACAGTTTTCCTGATGGCGGAGGGAACAGCTCCGGGTGCTACTGTCGAGCCCAGCGGTTTTCGTTTTGTCCGCTTCCCATCTCCGCTGCCTGGTTTCGTCCACCATAGTGGGTGGCTGCTGAGACTAAAGAGACAGTTGATAAGACAGTTGATGAGATTGGTTTCTTGGTTTCAAATGCTGCGAACCGAATAATCTCGCAGCTGTCAATTTTCAGTGGCTTTCCTGAAAGAATAAAAGGTTTGAAGCCTTAACATGGGGGCGTTTCTACCAGGAAAGGCACTGTCTATCTTTTACAGACCCCATCGGGTCAGGGCCATTTTTCGAAAGAATTTGTACGCGAAGTTAGATTACAGGTAGGCTAAAGTTCCGCTGCTATGAATTCCTTTCCGATGATGACACAACTACCCCTTAAGACAACTTAGCAAATTTCGCTTCCTCAGGGTCTGCTTACCTCGAAACCTCCTGGCATCGGCAGCTGTTCCGGTAGCGCTAAGAGGTTCCGAGTTGAGCTAATGTGCTTCTTGAAGGGTCAGACATCCTCAAAGGCAAAAGGCTTTTTTATCCAAAGAGAGCATTATAGAAGGATCACATCACAGCTCTGGGTACAATACCAGTATGGCTTGATACCACCCCCCTCCCCGATTTTTTTCCTTCGGTACCCCTTTCACAAACGCACTTTCCTCTCTTACCAGTCTTTCCCGAAAAATTGTTTTCGGTGAAAGAATGGGGGAAGGGATAAATTCCTCTGATCAATAACCATCAGAAATGGCAGTTTTGCCGAATGATGGGATGGGAGTTTTCCCTCGGCGCTAGCTAGGAAAGGAGGCGGGGATGATGGAGGATGCTGCTGACGCCAACTCGAGATCAACGGAAGTGCACATACACACGTTTGTGGGCGCTGACGTACTTGGAGGGGCGGGGGTTGGGTGCGGACCACCTAGCCCCGCCTCTGTATCACTTCTCAAAAGGACATAGGCTTGAACCCTGACTACCAGAGTTGCCGAAAGACAGTCACGCAAAGAAGCCATGATCTTCATCAGGCCTAAGCCTTCATTACAGGAAAGGATATAGAGGGGCCCGCGTTGTGTCCCTTCCCATTAGCTGTCTCGCTCTCCGCCCTTCCCCCACCCCTCAACCACGTCGGCACCCGTCTGTCACATTGAAAAAGTTTTGCAATCACAGGTAGATTACTTGTGGGCGATACAAACACATTCAAGCAAATCCATCTCAAATCATGAAAAGCAAAACAAACTGAGCTTACAAATAAGGATCTTCATCATCACTGAAGAATAGGTCATATATGGAATAGTAAGAATCATTTTCCCAGCAGACAGACGAACCCATGGCGAACGTCAAGCAGGTACTTGAGAGGGTTGACTAGGCCCGCCTCTGACACAGCGTTTTATATCGGGGCTGTCAGGACGCATTGCACAATAACGTGACATCATTGCGAAATGTAGTTTCCAGGGAGTTCCCCTATCGGTTGCTAAGCGCTGCAAAATCAAGTGGGTTATGCAACGATTTAGATTCTTTAGGTTTCTTAGCATACATCTTGGGCTTTTCAGAAACGCTGAACTCGAATTGAGTTTGGTCTCAAAACACTCGGGCCGTGCTATCGGAGGGGCATGGCTATCGATTCGCAAACTCATTGAACGTTTCGCCAAACGGGTGACTCACCATTTCGTGGCGCATTCTTTGCTCACACAAGGCGGAAGGAACGTACCTGGTGGCCCTGACGAAATCATTGAGCATACGCCATGCGTTCGTGATCCAACTGGGATCCTGGGGAGATTTAGATACGTACAGGCTCATACAATGGTTTGATGGAATCGATGGCGCTAGTAAATTGACGAAATGTGCAACTTGCCAATGAAACTAGTGGCCATGGCGGCTGCTATGCTACCGCGATTTTTACTTACCAGCTATTACTTTATGCTTCTACGACTGTGAGCAGATTAGTTGGCCCATAAGCGATCGTTCGGGCGAAATCCCCGAAATCTTAAATATTAAGACGTTATTGATAAGAGGTCTGAGTCAGAAACTGCGCACGCTATCATTTTACGAAGCCCATCAAGGGGTAGCATTTGTGCTACGGCACGCCATCGCGTTATGTATATTTCCGCTAAATACGACCCCCCCCCTCCCTGAAGAAGGTCTCGATGTGACCGTCTACCCAAAAAAATGGGAACACGGATACTAGGATTTCGAGGGTTCGCGCGCATTCTGCAGTTGTACTGAAGCGATGTATTTTGCAGTATCTTTTCCGAACAGGTCAGGAACCCCGGAAAACCCTTCTTTGAAGATCCATAACTTTTTAAAGAGTGAGGTTTCTGAAGAGGGGGGAAGCAGGGTTATGATGCACTAAGTTTGGTATTTACTAAATGTGCTAAATGGATTTCAGACACATCCTTTTTCAGGGAAATTTCCTCGTTGTGACGCCATTGTTGAATTTAAGTGTCGCCTACGAGTTTTCATGTTTTTAATAAACATAGCTTTCTCATGTGTTACTTCTTGTAACAAATAGTACCGGAATCCAGAGACTTTTCCTTTTCAAGGTGTGCTTCACTTTTTTCCTGGGTTCGCTATTCGAAACTCCCCGTGGTGTTTTTGTTGTGAGCTTTTTCGGGGTACACGAAAAACCCAATCCTCCTCGCAATACCATTTCCTTTTTTATGAAGGCTTTAGTGTGCCTCTAGAACACATCGTTTCGTCAAAGTTATCAGAAAATAGTTCGTTTGCCGGTTTAAATCACCTCTCTACTACATCCCACTCCCAGAGGTGTTGAAGGTTTTGCTTTCAGGTAGGACTTTTCGGTAAACAGCTGTGCTCCTGTGTTTCAGAAAGGTCCGATCGTATTGTAGGTTTCAGTTGTTTATAAATCAACCGCAACATTGTCGGTCGCCACCGCACTTCTCATCACCGCCTGCTCCCCACTTCTTAGCTTGCGCCTTGCCTTTGTGTCCTTTCAGATGTTCTTTGCAAAACAATTTTTCATCATTCAATGACTGTACAACATCTGGGTATCGTTGCTCTTCCCACTTCAGAGTGAGCCCCGCGCTTACAACCCCCTACCCCTCCTCCGCCCTCGCTGTCAAATGCGATCCCGTTGTGGTGTTCACAGCGATGGTGTGCCTTGATGGTAATCCCGCATTGGGGCTATAGCTTAGCATCTATTTTATTATCAATGGACACTCATAATTCGAAAACAGTACACAGCGAAAACAAACCGATAAATACAACAACACAGACCAGCGAATCTAAATGAGTAACTCAAACTTGTTAAAATATTTCTCAAATGTGATGAAATGAGATTACAGAACC